GAGTAGTTAATAACCAACTAATCGGGATTACATTGTTTAGCTAATCACCCAAAACTATATATAAAACAGAAATGATACAAGTTGCCGGAGCATGACTTATCTACAACAAATGTACCTTATTAACAACACGGTACACTTCAATCATGGAATGTGTCATAGCTAATTAATTAGCACACCATGAAATGTCCTTTTCCTCTTTGTCAAGACAGCCAAAGTAGCTATAATAATTTATAACCATGTACTAATTATTAAAACCCAATCAGAAATAGAATAGTTTTCTTCTTTTTTAAATCCGTATTTCTGGATCCTTATAAATTAGCATTATACTACTTGTTTGTTAGTTTGTTGACAATTGGCATCGTGCATGGCTGATGTATTATATTTATTTATTTATTTGTATTGCTTACTTTCAGCTATAAAAACAAGAATCCATACATTAGCTTTCTAAGTATGCATTAAGAGCCATTATCTAAAAAAGTATTCTTTAGGGAATAAATGATCATTTAAGCGTATCAATTAAAGAACATAGAAGGTAAGTAGGAATTCATCTAGCCATATCCCTCGTAGAAGAATGCTCTTAGACATTCTTTAATAGACATAAAAAGTGGTGCACATTTATACACTAATTTCTAATAACAATTCGAATTATTAAGACCAAATAATTTTTTATATGAACTTTTTTTGTGTCATCTAATTATATCTAATATCTTAGCCCTAACAAATGTTTTTTGCGAGCAACTTAATAAGTAACTAAGTATTAAAAGATTAACAATGTTGCCTCTGAAAACATAAATTATTGTCGAAACGTACACCAATAAGTCTTGTGTTTTGTCTTCACAATCTTCATACTCTATCAACATCGGACAATTAATAGACATTTCTCATTTAATTATGAGTAAGTATACTATATTCCAAGTGATATGACCATTGGATGTAATTCATTGTACTTTGGCAGATCAAAATGATCAATTTTTTATTATTAAATTGATCTAGATAGAAACTTCTCACTAGATAGAAGTATCCGAACTATAGTATATATACTTAGTATACATAAATTTGACCCATATATATATACTTGACCACGTCTCAGAACATTAGCTAGATGTCACCTTTTTAAGGGGGGGCAATGGCCAGATATGTTGATTACGTTTAGGCGAAATTAAATTAATATTCGAGGAGAGTCTCGTCCGAGTTAAACAATGATTAAGCAGACAAACCACTCCCTAATGAGTCATTGCCCAGGAAATCAATATATATAAATATGAAGTTGGGTTACTGTTTCATAACCACTTACATTTTGATACCCAAAATTTAACTAAATCACAATTTAATCATTAGAATATACATTTTACATTTAGATACTCTAAATTTAATTTTAATGTATGTATTATGTTTGGCATCTAAATTTTATAAGTTTTCGTAACTAATATCCCAACTTTAATTAAATCTCAAATTAGTCATTATCATGTACATTTTACATTCTGATACCCAAATTTAAATTTTAATATAAAACCATTGAACAATTTTGTTTGGTATCTAAATTTTATGAAATTTTCGTACCTAGAATTTTTTAAATATACATATTGATCAATGTTTAGATTTTATTTGAATCCATGAATCCAACCCACCAATTCTTTTGAACAAATGCATGAATCCAATTCACCATAATATAGAAGTACACATTTAGTCTGTACAATACAAGATGGAGAAGACTCAACCCTTTTATATTTGATCATAACGTGAAATATTAAATAAATGATGAAAAAGAGACGACTCAATAATATAACAAGATCGAATTTATAAACTCATTTAGTACATTTACGAGATACTAAACAAACTTCTATTAACTACATGTAACAAAATATGCGACAACTATATAAGCAAGTGTCAATAAATTGCTACGGTGAAAAGGGTTCACTGTTGTATTGACGGCCAACTGAAAGAATTGATCAAAACTTTCCATCATCTACTTCCTCTTCATTTCGATTTTCACTCGCCTTCCATAACCCTTTCTTTATTTCTTTCTTTGCCTTCTTCGTGTAACCCTAATTAGTATACTATGTATTCTAATCACAAGTATGAACGGGTCCATACACGACTCACCAACAGTCTAGAGATTTAATAATTGAACCATGACCACTAACTTTTTCAACTCATGTCAAGTCCAATTAAAAATAAATATATATGGTTATTACTCATTAGAAATTCGTCATTTTCCACTATGAGATTTGAAGGCGTGAAATTTTAAGTGAGTTCCAATTTGTACCTAAACTTAATAAATCTTTTAGATTTATATTTATATTTTTGGCATATAAGTCCTCAAAATATTGATGGAACATTACATTTTAGTATCTAAAATTTTTGTGTATTATATTTTGGTACCTAAACTTTTGAAGTTCTACATACAGGTCTAATTTTTGTATGTGTAATTAAAACACCCTCGAATAAATGGGTATTCATACCCAACTCATACAAATTTAGATTATGGAAGTAAATATACATACCCTACCCAAACCGATCTACTAGCTTCAAAAGCCATATATACGTCACCCATACCCTATCCATAATCAATGGGTCTACTAGGGTTTAGGTAAATATCATTTATTAGCCAAAATTTTCAAAAAAATTTAAATTGAATGTTGACCGCCATATATCTCTTCTCAGTCAATATTACTAATTAAACTGCTAACAAAATAATAAGTTTAGGCCAATAATACTAACAAAACACCATAACGAGCCACTTAATACATGCGCATAGATCATCTCCACTGCGCGACAAGGCGCGGCTTCGCCACCTAGTTATTATTATTAGTAACTTAATAAAAAATTGGGTGGCAGGGGGGACTTGAGAATAGATGATCGCACGCAACAGAGTTCATTCATACATTAATACATAGCTTAGCCGCGTTGTGTGTAGATCGAGTAGAATAACCGATCGAGTAGCTAGGAATTGGAGTGGAGGACCCGCTGAAACCAAAACAAAACACTAAAAATTCAACAACAACAAAAATAATTATGGTTTTTGATGTATTTACTTTTTTTTTAAAGTATTTAATACGGAAACCACTCTACTCTATGTTAGAATAACACCGTTACTGCATTGGTCATTTCTATCGTACCCGCTATCTCCCGTTCGTAAATTATCATTGTTCATTGTGCCTGATCACTCGTCAAAAAACACTATTTTTAAAAAAGTTAAACTAACATCCACAATGAAAAAAAAACTCACACGATATAAAAATATTAAGATATACTTTTCTCAGAGATGTAGGAATGAGTTGAATTGCCTCGAAATGACATATTAATAACTTTTGATGTATCATATTATATTCACACTTACTTGTAAGTTGTAATTAGCAAAATGAACCAGGTTGTCATGCTAATCGCGGCATATACGACCATAACGTGACACATGGTGGGTAATGGCCGCCGTTAACTAAAACTGAAAGTGGGTGAATGGCTTTTGTTTCCTCCAGTGGATCTTTAATGATGATCGGTCAGTTAATTGCAAGTTGGTGTGGCGTGAATTGGCGGCTCGTCCTACGCGCCTTCATTTTGAAACGTTCTGTGCGTGCCATTCAATCATGCACCTCCACCTTCCATTCCATGTTTCCTTGACCGGCCCGTTTAAGAATCGTGGAAAAGGGTTAGGTCCAACATGTATCCTTTTTAGTTCCTTTTTTTTTCTGGGTGGAGAATGTGAATTGGAGCCTGACAAAAATGAAGCAGATGGTCAAGTGAAGAATACCATCTCATGACAATTCAAAACTCAAATTCAGACAAGTGTGGAAGTATATCAACTTTTTGTTTTATCAAAATTTGTCTTCTCTACTTTGTGTCGACAAGACATTAGATTGCACCAACTCTGTGCAATCTGAATTACTAGACATATTAATTCTCACTTGATTCACCTTTAATTCGTTCTCTACCGTGATAGCGAAGTGATGAGTTAAAATAATGAAAGGGTGAACATAAAAAATATGCGTAACGAACAAAAGTTTAGTCTAGTGGTAATACTACTAGCGTTGGACCTGGAGGTCCAAGATTCGATCTCTTAAGTAGTACCTAATCACAAAAAATAAACCTATATAACCCTTATAAAAAAAAATGCGTAACCGTATAAACAAATAGTCAATTGTGGTGACACTTATTAGTGTTTTCTCAACATATATATATACACGATTGTAATCTTTAACCAAATATTGAAGGGGTGGCAGTAGTGGCTCTTAGAGACTTAGGCTACATAGAGCAGAGCTCCGTCAAAATTTGATATCATTATTGCTAATAATATATTTTTTCTGTATGAGATGAAACCTTCCAAATATGTACCTAATTTTCAATCTCTCAAAAAGTCAACATGGTCCAAAAAAAAAAAAAGTAAGAAAGAAGGGGGAGAGGAAGAGGATGGTTTCATGGGGTAAAAGAGCTCTATGCACACACTTAGTCTCTCGCTTTGCTACTGAACATTTTCGTTTGCCCTAACATCGTTCAAGAGGAACATAGGAAGGCTCTGATAATACTTGTAACATCCTGAACTTTTTCCTGACAAAATATTGTCCGCTCTGAGCCTAAAATCTCACAGATTTTGTCTTGTGGTGCATATAAATGTGACTTCCCAGTTCCCATAAGCTCACCCATCATTGTAGTACTCCACAATGAGTATATTTAACTTTGAAGTTCTTACAAGATCTCTTCTTCAGACACGTCTTATTAATTATAACTGATTTCTTAATTCTCTCGTGACTTGTCGACATGCTTTTCGCCTAAGGTATTACAAAAACTTCCTTTGAATCTTCAACTTTGGTTTTGTTAACAAAAAAGAACAAAAATTCAACTTTGGTGATGACTGGTTATCACTTGTCTGGACATCTGACACTGAGGCCCCGGCTTACAGATACCCAGCCCATACACTCACAAAACAATAAGCCCAAACAAACTCCACAGCCTAAAATAAGGCCCATAAAAGTTAAAACCACAAACTCATGAAAACACCGCAAACGCCGCAGCAATGTGGGAATCGACCGCCGTCAGCCGAAAGCCGTAGGCGGCAAGCCAGTTCCAGTATCATCAGCAGCAGCAAATGCTCCACTGCCGACGGTTCCGAATTCCGGCCCCACGTTGTCCCTCTCCCCTTAAAACCTCCCCAAAACCCTTAAACCCCAGAATTTACCCCAACCTCCACATTCTGAAACTCTGGGCAACTAGATAGTTGGCTGCGGGAAAATAAATTCAACTTGGGGCTTGTGCGGGTTTTCCAATTGGGGGATCCAACAGATGAATGTCGAGGAAGATGGAGGAGCTCCCAATAGGGAGCTCTACGCAGTGCTCCAAGTCTCCCCTGAATCCACCACCGAAGAAATCAAAAGGGCTTATCGCAACTGGGCTCAGGTTTATCACCCCGACAAGTACCAAGACGTTCATGTAAGTTGATACAATTTGTCATTCCTGCTGTTTCAAATTCGACAAGATAGCTGAATGATTATAGTTCCTCGGTTAATTAGTATGGTTTCAAGCTTTTGGGTTGGTTTCTTTCTGAGTTAGAACCTGGAAAGTGTCAGTCTTTTCCCCCTGCTTCTGTTGAATTATTGGACCTGCACCTGCCTTTTGGGTAACATTTTGTATTGCTGGAAATGCCTTGGTGTACTGAGAAGGGATTTGCAAAGGGAGTCTATTTCTGTACTGGTACTTTGTCTTTTTTCCAGATGAAGGAGACAGCAACTGAGAACTTTCAAAGGATATGTCAAGCGTATGAAGTGCTATCAGATGAGACTAAAAGGCAGATATATGATATATATGGTTTGGAAGGTTTGAGTGCTGGTTTGGAGCTTGCAACAAGGACCAATAGAGTCGAAGAGTTAAAGGAAGAGCTCGAGAGATTGCGGCAGAAGAAGGAAGAAGAAAAGATGGCAGCACAGTTCATACCTTCTGGAATAGTTGTGACTAATCTGTCCTTGCCCCAGGTTCTGGATGGCGATGGCATCATGGCTGGGTAGATCACTTCCCCCCATTGGTTTTTTCAGTATCAAGCTTGAAATTTTCTTCTGCAATCTGACTATGCTTATTAAGTTGCTTATCAAAGGGACTTGTTCTAAGATCTTGTATATATTTTCAGAATGGCTATGTCTAGTCAAGTTAATACTAGATTGTCAAAGCATACGAATTTTGCAATGGGTGGAAATTTGGAAGTTAATAACCATGGTGCTGGTACAGCTGCTTCAACTGTACTTCGACATCAGCTTTCTTCTGTTCAGTCGATGGAATTTCTTGCTCAAGTTGGTTTACAATCGCTTATTGGTGTACAAACAACTCGGTATGGACATTCGCTTGGAACTCTTCATGAAGACTGTGTAATAACTTGTTTCACATAAGTTGTTCAATCACTTACTATTATTTTTGGCCAGGTATGTATCTTCACATTCAACCGCTACAATTGGCATCCGAAAGTCTTTGCAGGATGGTTCAATCAATCTCTCTAATACCTGGACTAGCCAGCTGTCTCCGACAACAAATGGGAATGTAATCCTCTTTGTCCTTTTGCCTAGTCATTGTTAATACCCAGAATTGCATTGAACTATTTGTTACACCTATAACTGCATTGAACTAAGTTTTTATCCAAAATTTGTATGCGTGTCTTGTGGCCCTAAGTTTCCAGATGTCAATTTAATTGAAGTGCAGAGCACTTGGTAGGCTAAGATAAAAAAACTACATCTAAACCGAAGACTTTATGAAACAAGTACTATCATCACAAGTTCACCTCTGTCGGTGTATTGTTTCCTTAGTTTTGCTTTTAAATTTGTTATGGCAGATACAATTTGTGCTGGGTGATCAGTCATCTGTTGCTGTCGGGTGGCAAAAGAAGGACGATAAAATGTCTGCAAGTGGAGAGTTGAAGGTACTGCTATATTTTCTTTATTGGGGAAATTTTACTTGGGAAAATAAGTTGACTGCTGTTAGAAGTGTGGCGAAAACTGTAAGGGATGAAAAACATGACTTCTATTTTCAGAGCTGGCTTCCTCTACTGGCTTAAATTTGGTTCTTCATTCTATCTGTTCTCCAATCCTTTTCTCTTCTGCTTCTTAACCTACAAAGACGATACTATTTTGTATCTAATTCTTCACTTTTGCTTTTCTTATTGGTCTGAAATTGCTGCAGGTTGGTACACGTTATTTGGGGGCATCTGCTCATTATGTTCATCGCTATTCCTCAGATTCTCATGCCCGTATTGCTGGAAAGTACAACAGGTTGTTGCTCTTACTGAATTTCAATTGTGATTTTTGCAGTCATAACTGATGTTTGAATTCTTGCTTCTCGCTTGTGTGAATGATTGTAAAAATGGCTCCTAGTTTGGCTTCAGCTGTAATTAATAAACAGTTGGTGTCACTGATATCTTTCAATTTATCTTCTCAGAGTTCAAAATTTGCGAAAGAGAGAATCTTTGCGAATGATTCTTGTTCTTCATAAAAGTTATTACTATCTTGTGTTTGGTTACAACTTCCTGGAAATTGTGTCTTCGAAGTTTTGCTCATGGAAATGATTTCTGAGTCATGTTTTTATTCTCTATATTAAAGGTACTTTGAATCATTCGAAAGACAACAGAATGAATACTCTATCTTGTTGATTAGAAAAAACCTCATTATTATTATTGCAGTACTACTCTTGAGGTTGAAGTTGGTGGTGGGAGGAAGATATCCGATTTAACCACTGTCCGGATGATGTATGTGATTGGAATTCAGGTACCAAAACACAGGACTATGAATTTACATTTACTCTTCTTCGCACATGAATAATGTATAGAGGGCACTAACCATGATGATGCAAACGCAATGAGCTATTCTACATAGCCTTTATATTTTGGCAATTGTTTGTTTCCCACAGTATTTGAAGATGTTCTTTACTTTACTTCTCTCAGGGCATCTCTTGGAGATTTGAAATGCGCCGTGGGTCTCAAAAGTTAGTTATTCCAGTAAGTGAAATTTTACATTTTCAGGATCATTTGAGTATGTACTAGTACTAGTATTAGTATATTTCACTTGTTCCAATGCTGATGTTACCTCTTTATGTCAGGTATTGCTTTCCACCTATTTCGATCCAGCGTTTGCAATCGGAGCATTTGTAGTTCCAACATCTCTGTACTTACTGCTTGAGGTGTGATCTCACATAGTGTCAAGTTTTACCATCTTACCTCAATAATTTCAATGAGCTGGTCCATTGCCAATGATGCCGTGTGGTGAATTTTGCATAATGTTTATGCTTGTCTATGCAGAAATTTGTAGCTAAGCCTTATTTACTTTGGAGGGAAAAGGGTAAAGCTTTAGAAGATAAACAAAAAACTTCGGCACAGGTTAGTAAACTATATATCCTTGTTACTACAACTTGGTAGTTAAACATCTTTCCAAAATTAAAAGAAATATACATTCATTGTTCCTTGTTATAGGTACGGGAGGCGAGAATATCCGCAGAGAAATCTCAGCAATTATTACGAATTGTGGCAGACAGGAAGAAGACCAAGCAAATAGAAGCAAACGGGCTGCTCATTGATAGAGCAGTGTACGGAAGTCTGGAAGCATTGCAAAAACAAGACGGGACAATACCACATGGTGACACAACATCAGAAGAATTCATCGATGTCACAGTTCCTCTAAATTTCTTGGTCAATGATTCCGGGCAGCTGAAGGTACAGTCTTATAACTACATATTTCAGCCCAAAAACCCAGTTTATGCACAGCTGTTTCTGAAAATTCCTGGTTTTTGAACTCGTACAATTTAGCTTCACAAGGGCGTGAAGAAGTCGGGGATAATGGGATTCTATGATCCTTCCCCTGGAGAACCAAAGCAGTTGCTTGTTGAATACACTTACCGGGGCCAAAAGTTCAAGGTAACCATCATCAACATATCTTTCCTCTCCCGCCATCTTAGTTCAGAAACTTATCCTCTTCAAATAAATGACAAAATGTGGTGTTCTTGATTCAGGTGATTGTCGATGATTATGACGAGTTGTTAATCCCCCAGCATGCTCATTTAGTCTGATTAAACTCGTGGAGTTGCCTTTGAAAGCAAATTTTGCACGCTTTTGGATACATGCGATATCTGAGGTAACTTGGAGAGGAGACGAGATGACTTCACATCAGATGTTTGCATTTTTAGGATTTACATCCATTTACAGGTCGAATAATAATGCTCCATTTTGTCTTTTTATTCATTCCAAGTTATTTCAGAGAAGCCATTTTTCTGTATGTTCCAGTGACTGTGAGGCTATTGGCACATTGTGCTGGGTCTCGCAATTCAACCAAGGGTGATATAAACTTGACGAAGGACCCTACTTCTTTAAACAAGTTCATCTGAACGTCTGTAAATATTAACACCAACATTCAGCGAAAGAAACAAAAAAAAAAAAAAAAAAATGGTAAGAAGGAAGAGCAAATAAAGTGATCAAAATTATTGTGTCATTTGCATGATGAAAAATCAGCTTCTTCATATTTGTACAACTGTTATTATCGATAAGTGAAGTGAATCTTGGAGCTAGCAGAGCGGCCTTGAAGCTGGGTTTCCATTTCCATCTTGGCTTCACAGATATCTTCTTCAACCTGATCAGGATCTCTGTATTCAGCTACGGAAGAACTAATTAACCATTGGTCGCGGGTGTCGATAAGTACTTGGTTCAAAGAAGGCGTGTTCGTGATGATGTAGGCAGCAAGTTCAAGTTGGATTCTGCAAGGAGTAACATAAGATGCACAGAGCCGGTGCACCCCATGCAGCTGAAGCACCTCCAGAGACTGGTGCTTCCATGTCGACGACTCTGGCGCACTCGAGTTTTCGCTCTCCCATCGTACTGAATCGAAACCATTGATGAAATGTATCGACAGTTGGTGCAACACCGGAGCTGCCATCAGCAGGACGGTGACGGTGGAAGCAAACAAATTCTCCAGAGCGCAATCTATATGTATGAACAGATCCAGCACCCTGAGCTTTTCAAACCACAACCACTCTGGCGGAGGGAGGCGAAGGTTATTAATCCCGAGTTCGAGCCCAAGGCGGTGCAGTCGTGGTGCGAACTTGTGGAACTGAAAGCTCGACAATGGGATGTAGCGGCGGAAGCTGGCATCGAGGATCCATTGCCCACCAAACCATGCCTCCCGGAGTCGAGGAAGGTGGTTCCCAAATTCGACATGTGAGCCACTTGCTCCGTTGAACTTGAAAGTACGAAGACTCGGAGCAGAGCTGAGCTCAATCCTAACGATACAATCCTGTCCTTTAAACTCCAAGCTCAGCATCTCCAGGTTGTTGCTCGAGCATACTCTGATAACCACCGTTTCTCCTTCACTGAATCTGCAACCGCGTAGAGCAAAGCGTCTCAGTGACGGACAGTTGCGAGAGAGGATGTAGGCGATAGCTGCTGGATCAATCTTGGCAATGCCCTTGAATTCCAAGATTTGGAGGCGGCTGAGGTCGTGTCCGGCGAGGAAATCAGGGGTCAAGAGAGGGAAAGTGGCCCAATTGTAGCAGTAGGACATCAGCGTCAGTTCTTTTGCTCTTTTTGTTAACCCGAATTCCACCCACCTCCAAGCTTCCTCTGTCATCCCACACAAGTTGAAACCTATTCTCAAGCCGTCCAAGTTTTGACGATCAGCGAGCGAAGTCAGGGCTTGGTCGATCAGATTTGCGAAGCGGTGCTTTTCGCTGACCGTGATACAGTTCCTACACCGTAACTCGTCGGACTTGACGAATTCCAGAACCCCGCCACCGATCGATCGCCATGTGTTCCTCCATCGTTTAGACAACAGGCTGCTGCATCTTACGATTTCGTTCACCGTACCCAGATGGGAAATAATCTTCAACACTAATTCATCCGGAAGTTCCCTCGACGGCGACGACATTGGTTGGTTTGCTGCTGCCGCCGGATGAATTCAGTCTCGCCCCTCTCTTCCCTAATATGTTATTTTCCTTTTGCGTTTCATTGTCCTTTTCCGTCTTGGGCTCGGACTTGTACGGCGCTGCGTTAGGCGGAGTTTATTCGGGGCCGCGGGCCCAATTACTTAACTCATCAGTCATCACTAGATCATGTGAATGAACAGATTCTCTCCTTCTTCCTTCCATCGACTGGTGAAGTCAGGATCGGTTTCGAGGAGAAGGATTTCCGATTTCAAAGGGTGAAAGCAGATCGAGCTCGGGAAGCTGAGAGCAGATATTCACCACTACGCCGCTGAGCTTCGGAACCCTAGTTTTCGTTGATCCAGGTACGCCGGCGGTCTTCTCCCCCGTCCACCCTCTCCATTTCTTCGTTTATCGAGGGAAGCAAAACCATGGTTGGATTCTGCTTCGCTACTGACTCCTTTTTTTCCTTTCAGTTAGTTCGATTCCCTTCCTTGAAGTTCATATTGCGCCTGCTGAAAAATCCATCTTCTTCGCTGATGAGTTATTTCTCTGTTCAAATTGGGGGAAATTCAGGGAGCAGGAATTGAAGGGAATATTGCGGAATAAGTCCAGAGGCTGCTGAAAATCAACTAGCGAGCTGCTCCAGAAACAGGGTGAAGGTATCAAGAATGGCGGGGCAGCAGGAAAAACATCTAGACGAGTGTTCAGTTGCCAAGTACCTTCTGTTTCCTTTTCTCCAGTCATTGTTTTTTTTCCTCTTTCGCATTCTTTGTTTCCTTTTCCTCCCACTGCTGCCCATATCTCTTGATTCTCAGTTTGCACAACATTATAAGGAAAATCATAGGAAACTCCGACTAACTAGTGTCATAGCTGCTAATTGCTAGTGCCTGGGAAAGAGAACACGTATTATGCTTTGTACTCCTCAATCTTCTGGTTCCTGGTTTCTGTACGTTGTTGGTGTTTTAGGAGATGGATGGTTCCTTGCTCCTCAATCTTTGTTGGACAGATCTGTTTACAGCTGGTGATGTGCTTAGGGCTGCTCTATATTTGTGGAGAGAAATAGGGTTTGCTGAAATTCTTGAAAAAGTAGTGGAAAGTAAGGTTTTCTATGGGTTGGATGCAGGGAGAACTGCCACACTGATTGGTAATAAGATCAAGTAGTCTGGTGTCACAACCTTTGCTAAATTCCATACCAATGAATGAGCTGGGCTGCACCCTGCATGGATGGGAGGTCTGGGGTTTCGAACTGGGTTCAGGCTCTGATGCCTGCCTTCTGGTTTCTTGTACACATTTGACACTAGCCTCAGTTCCCCAATGGCTATATCTGTGAACTGATAGTTCCATTGCTTTCTATGGGTGAATGTGACAGAGTGCACACACCAGTGCTGTTTCTATATGTGCCTTCTGCTCCATCTACTGACCATTCCATTCATAAATTTATGCATAGTTTCACTATTATATGAAGATAGAACTGTGACGAAGGAGCTAAATGTTCAATATGTGCAGTGCTATGGGAACGTGGTTCTTTTCAGTAGGAGGCGCTCTGCTAGCAATTCCTGTGGGGATAAAGCGGAAATCGTTAGCCCCACTGGTGTTCTTTGGCACGACGGGAACAATGCTTGATATAATAATGGGCATCAGTCAGTGTGAGAGAGAACATGCTGAGCGCCTTGCTAAGCTACAGGAATCCCAAAATCCCGGTGCTGATGTATCTTCTGCTGAAACATCATCATGACTTGCAGAAAGTTCGATTTCCTTGCGCGGAGCCAGTTAGTTGCCGGTAACTTCATCAATGTCCTGCTCTTTTGCACTGTCTCCAACTAACTGAAATTTTCTTTTTGGTTTAAACTTGTTTAGTCTTGCCCTGGAAATAATAAGTGTTGCTACCTGGGAACTTCTTGTGAATTTAGTTGGAGAGCCTTTATTTTGTGGAAGTTAGATGTTATTCTGGAGATTCTGGAGATTTGTGCGCTTTGGTTTGAAACCAATACGAGCACATTATCTGTTTGATTCGGTTTGATTCGTTTGAACACAGTGGCGGCGAGTTTTGGGCCGGGTTTCTTCGTGCATGGTCTATTAGGGTCCAATTACTTTTTTTTTTCTTCGTGCGAACTGCGAAGGGCCTAATTACTTATGGAAAGGCACCTAAACAACCACAACATCTAATTCACCAATGTTTATGTTTATAATTATGTAAATTTGTTTTTTCTTGACGTCATATTGGTTTTTAATTTTTATTGACGTAAAGTGGTGGTTACTTACTCACGCAAATAGTAATAGTTATTCATAGGGGTGTGCAATGGTCTGGTCCGTACTGGACCACAACGGATCAAACCGAAGTTTGGACCGTACCGTAGCAGATCGAGTATAATGCGGTCTAGTCTTTGGTTCACATGAATATTACAATTACAGAAGAAATGATGGACCGAGCTGATATTTGGGTTGGGCCAAATGGATCGAATGCAATAATGGTCCGGTCCTTGGTCTTGCGTTGTTTTTCACTAATGGACCGCGGTTCTCATAAGTTTGGTCCGGTCCGAACTGAACCGAACCGTTGCACACTCTTAGTTATTCATGCAATTTGTGTTTATTCACACACATTGTTATTTTTTCGTACAATTGTAAAACTAATTTTTAAATTTTGAAATATATCAAAATAAATATCATAGTGTAGATTACAATAAGTGCAGCATATTTTTATAGAAAAATTGAAAAAGCAAAATTTAGTTCAACAAAATATGTCCGATACAAATTATTAGGGAGAAAAAGAGAACATTTGGGGATTTTTGTAAATAATCGTTACTTTCACATGAATAAACATCGTATTAGGTGAATAATCACCAAATGACGTGAATGAATATAAAAATGCGCGAATTAAGTGTTGCGGCTCACACCAAACCTTTTCCGTTACTTATAGAATCACTACTTTTTTACAATCAACAAAAATCATTACATAAAATCAAGATTTGATTAGAGATTTTCCTGGTGTTACTCTTTCGTTTTAAAAACTACTAATCATCGCGCTAAAAAATATCAAAATTACTTCCTTATTCTTTTGTACATATAAATATCAATTATCAACATCCGACCCTTTGAAGGAAAGCAAACAACATCTGGGAAGAAGCAAGAGCAAACAAATTGAGCCATGTCTATTTTGTTCATATTGGTAACAAACAAGCATTACCATCACCTATAAGTGAAGTGAACATGCGGGCTAGCAGAGCGACCTTGGAGCTGAGTTTCCAGCTCCATCTTGGCTTCGTATATATCTTCATCCACCTCATGGGGAAGTCTGAATTCGGCCGCAGGACGGCTAAGCAAGCTCGGGTGGCGGGTATCAATGAGCACTTGCTTCAGGGAAGGCGCTCTCATGACGATGCAAGCCGCAAGTTCCAGTTGTCTTCTGCGAGCAGAGACGAAAAACGAAGCAGTCCGATCCCGATGCACCCCGTGCAGTCGAAGCACCTCCAGAGCGTGATGCTTCCATTCCAATGACGACTCTGCAGCACTTGAGCCCCGCCTCTCCTGGTTCTCCATATCAAAGGCATTCGCGAAGCGAATCGTCAGCTGTCGCAAAACCGGAGCTGCAACCAGCAGGACGGTGCAGTCAACCAAACTCGAAGGAGCGAAGCACGTATTTATAAACAGATCCAGACCCAAGAACCTCAATTTCTCGAACAACAACCACTCCGGTACAGGAGAGACGAGACGGGGACGATAGTGATTCGTCCCCAATTGGAGCCCGAGGCGGTCCAATCGCGGTGCGAATTTTTCAAATTGAGCGCGAGACCACGGGAGGGAGCTGGTTTCGCGGATCCACTGCCCGCCGAACCACGCCTCCCGAAGTCGAGGAAGATTGTCACCAAATTCGACGTGCGAGCCGCTGAACTTGAATGTGTGAAGATTGGGGGCAGAGACGAGCTCGATCCTAACCTCGGAGCCGGGGCTTCCTGTTGGTATTGATGCCTCAAATTAATTCAAGACTTGGAGTTATGGAAGACACTTGAGGTTACTTGGGGTTATGAAAGTTAATGACCACATGGAGTTAATTGTGTGGAGTTTCCATTTGGTTAATGGGAGTGCCGTTCACTTTTTCTTTGGCATCTCATAAGCCATTTTGCATGGCTATAAATAGAGAGTCTATTGTTGTTGAATAGACACACCAATTCCATCCAACTCCTTTCTTCTCCTAAAGTGTAGAATATCTTCTTGAGTACTTTTCTTTTATGTTGGGAGTTTTCTACTTACTCCACAACTTTGTACGTTGAAGATTATTCCTTGATCATAGTGGATTTACTGGCTTGTCCAGCCCGTGGTTTTTCTCCCTCTTCTTTGGAGGGTTTTCCACGTAAAATTGGTGTCTTGTCTTTGTTAATAATAAAAATATAACCACATTTGATTTGTTTGTTGGAAAAATATAACAATTTTCTCATAACTACATCAACGAAATTAGTAGTGCCGTTAAAAATATTAACGACAAATTGAGATGGACACCACTTTAACTCCCACGTCAAGTCTACTGTTGAAGAAAACGTAAAAGAAGAGCAGACACAGCGAGATTTACGTGGTTTCCCCGTTCGATGTGAACGGGACTACTCCACGGAGAGTTCACACTCTCAGGATTTTTGATTATGATGATGATGATTGTTAGGGTTTGTAGCCCTAGTTACAAGCATATATAGCAGCCGATTTCTACAGGAAACACTCGGCTGACTCTTGACCAAGAAAATACAGAATGGTCCTTGACACAAATAAAAATGACAAATAAGTACTCATAACACGCCCCCTCAAGCGGAGGAATGAATGTCAATCATTCCAAGCTTGACCCGAAGATGATGGAACTGAGCCACACTCAATCCTTTTGTGAACAAGTCAGCAGGCTGATCAGAGGTAGAGACCTTCAAAGGAGCAATCAGAGTTGCGCAGCGGAAGCGTGGTGGGCCCATAACCCACAGGTCCCTGGATCGTAACCAGGCTCTGATACCATGAAGAAAACGTAAAAGAAGAGCAGACAC